TATTCAATACATTATATGTGGTATAGGGAGATATATTTAATACATTATATGAGGTATAAGGATATATATTCATTACGTTATATGTGGTATAGGGATGTATGTTCAATACATTATATGAGGTATAAGGATATATATTTAATACATTATATGTGGTATAGGGATATATATTTAATACATTATATGAGGTATAAGGATATATATTCATTACATTATATGTGGTATAGGGATGTATATTCAATACATTATATGAGGGATGTTTGTGTAATACATTATATGAGGTATAGGGATGTATGTAATTGCAATATATAATGTAAGCCTCATAACTGTATGCAGTACAAAGTAAATAGGGAGAAAATGCACTTTTCACAAAGCATAGCTTACTGAGGCTATGAGAGCTGGTTTATAACTGAGTATTTTATACTTTTTAAACATGCAGAACATCACTTGCTGATAGCTTACACATTGTGTATTTAATTACAATTTTCTCCTGAAACGTATGCTTTTAAAGAATGATGCACAAATTAGCCTTTGTAACGAAGTATCTATTTTTGTGCTTTTCTTTTGATACATTTCCTTTACATGGGACACATTCTCGACTTTACTTTTTATTTGGCACATATTAGGCATACCACTTGCTGAAAGAGGAATCTTTTATGGTGTGTAATCTGTGTTGAATATCTGCCAATGTCCAAAATGGCTTCAGGCTTATACACCTGCACTTTTGTTTTGCTGAGTGTATGTTTGAGAAGTATGTGAGAACTCGAAAGTAGCTGGAAGTAACAACATTGCATTTTCATTTTAAAAAAAGTTATTTTATTCCTGAGTTAAAATTAATGTTTGTGGCTGCAGTGTGTCAGGCCATGCAACATGAACATCAATCTGTGAGCTCTGGAAAAATAATCCCGAGAGCCATTTTGAATCCTGACAGCCCCATAATCGGCAGAGGACAAAAGAGCCCAGTCGGGATCTCTTCTCTACATGATAAAAAAAAAAAAATCCACATGGTTCAAAGAGATAGAGCTATCACATATCGCTACATAGGATTTACAAACAAGGAAATGTATACAAAAAGGTAGCACTGAATATTGCTAAAGAATTATGTGCCATAGAGTTAAATGATCTGTACACTAAAACTGCTTCATTAATGAAATTCTTTAGTGCCAGGAATACAAAGCTGACTTAAAATATAAGACTTACAAAAATATACTATGTGAGATATAATGAATTGAATGATGTGCAATACAAAACCCCATTAATGCACATACATTCTAATGAATATATAAATAGCTGTGATGGTTTTAATAACAATTTGGATTTGTTGACCTTATGTAGGTATTAATATGCATAACATTTTATGTGAAAATAAAAGACTATATATTATATACTATATGCAGTTGCATATAGGAATGGCAACGCAAATGTAATTTATCTTTGCGTTGCCATTCCTATACCCTTATCTATAATGGAAGTGTTTGGACACATGTATATTGTGATACTGTTTGAGTTTGGACTCTATCTGAGAAGGCTGCAGACCTCCTTTGACGTGAAATCAAAGAGAAAGAACTGTGATTGGCCACAATTTTGGCAGAAGCGCATCACAGGATGTGAGTGTGCCGCAATTTTGTTAGTTCGCTGCAAAACCGGACGTGCGGCACAAAGTGTGTGCACATTACATATGTTGCATGTGCTATATGTTAATATGTTGTGTTATCTGGATAAGTGTACATTGAATATAATTACCCTTCAAATGATCAGAGGATATGTAGTACACCAATATTTCTATTGAAGTCCGCAGTAGCTCCAAAATAATGCCACAGGTAGGTAATGAAAAACTGCACAATTTATCAAACCTTTATATAGAGGAAAGTACTATAACAAAAATGGCAGCAACTAGTAGCCCACCTAGTAAGATGTTACCTCCACTATGTGCACCAAAAGCCAGTGTGCAACTGGTACGCACATTCATATAAGTGGAAATGAAACACCCTGCATTCAAAAGCAAAAAAACAAGAAAAAAAACCTGATCAGAGTACCCATTGTTAGTGGGAATTTAGGGCAATCAGTTCGATGTGATTTACCCTATCAGTAAAACGAATCATAATTCATTTACTAAAAAGCTATAAATATATAACAATATAACCCAACAATATTTAGATCTCTGGTCAACCAAACTTCACATCTGACTATGTATATCATAACTGATACATATATTGATGAAATGTATGTCTAACCAGATACCATATACAATCATTTCAAACCTACATGTTCATATACACACACATAGGTGCATCTACCCATATGTCTCTTTATATATACCTATATGCAGAGCTTGTGTCATATACAATATATAAAAAAGAAGATAGATATAGTCTCTTTGTAATTCTAGTTATAAATGATTAGCATAGGCAGAGCCTGAATATAATATTAAATAATTTATGAATGATTTTAGTTCAATTAATATGTACCATTTTCCATTGTTTTTTCAAACAGGATGATTTCCTCAATCTATGCTTTACCTATGGATCCTCTATAATTTGGAGTATGTTTTATATATACAAATCTAACTCTTGCACCATGCATTGAATAACCCTGTTTCATATCTCTATAAAATATGAATAATTTTACTTCATGACCAATTATTCCTTTGGCAATCCCGTTACACCAGGGTTGCCCAAAAGGTAGATCCTCAGATGTTTATAACTACAATTCCCATGATGCTTCGCATGCCCCTTTATTACACACACAATGTTCAGTACTGTCCCTTCAACAATGACCTGGTCAGTTTTATGTGCCTTGTGATTACTTCCTCTCAGTAATCAGTCTTACTCAGAAACCATGGTTTACTGGAGATGTTTAATTTGGCCAACTATTGTTCTGGATGATGTATTTTGACATACAAACATTCCAGGTATTGAAGTAACACTCGTCCATAAGAAAACACAAATAACTGATTGTTTGTGGGTATTTGGTTCAAAATGATTGACTCCAGTTTGTCTCCTGTCCATTGAGTCTTTGTATTAAAATGGAGAATCAGTAACGCCATCTTCTATCCTGGGTTAAATTAGAATTATTCTAGCAAAGTTCACATTGTGGGATTCCGCAGCCAAACCTTAAAGCTGATCTGTCCCTTTTGTGGGTCTTTGCATATTTTACAAAGTTTGGGGTCTGGTGACATAGGGTGCAGTCTAAAGTAAGTTTTACTTACCTGAAGCTATCCTTTGTAGCTGCCCCCATTTTCATACAGGCGTCCGTCTTCTGCTCCTTTTACTTCTTCTACCATGATGCGTGTCAGATGAACCATGTCAGTGCTCTACTCTCACGCATGCACAAGGGTACAACACGGAGGATCGAGTGAGCCTGCAAGAGCCTCCACAGTTTGATGCCTGAAACCCAAAGTGATGGCTGCAGGAATTAGACAAATGTTAATGGGGGAGCTCCACCTTTTGTCAATATCAGGCTTGTTCATAAGACAAAGTAGTCCCTTTTTTTGTCTTATGAAATCTTTGGATTGCATTGGAATTTCAGTGACATCCCAACGCAGTCAGCATTATTTCTGAAAGTTTATGTCTTTATGAAATACTAAGTGACAAAGCAATGTTAAAGGCAGGTAACAGCCACAACAAGCTAGTGAGTTGTCATGGTGAGCTGGCAAGAGAATGTTATGGATTACTGAAAAGAAAAAGGTTTTCGCACATACATTTACACTAGATCTAAATTAAATAATATATACCATCTCTAGTTAGTTGAAAAGCTAATGATACTGTGTGCAGATTATAAAACTGCTTCTAAAACAATGTAATTCTGAAACTTGTAAAATGATAGAATCTTTCTCATTATCCATAAATGACACAATTTATTAAAGATTTATCATATCTCATTCAATTGTTCTACATCATTAAGTTTTGTAGTTGAGTGCGAAATAGACAACTAAATTTTGTTTTGTTTTTTGTTGTTAATAAAAAAGATGGTACATTGCTGAACAGAATATAGATTTTTAACAGTTTATTTTGCACTTTTAAACAAGCTGTTTAATGGCAAACTATTATTTGTCATTTTATTCAGATTTTAGACTACGAAAGCTGGCACCACAGGTATTATAGAAAGACTCCTAAATAAAAAAAAAAAATACAGTAATTGTGTGGCATGCAATAAATCACCTTACAAAATCTATTCAGGAGTTTTTATTGAGCAGATAAAATGTCTATTATGGTATTGTTGATACATTGAAAAACAGTAAATATGGCAATTATAATTCATATTTTAAAGACTTATTGTTAAGTATTATGGATGATTAAAAATTCATTTAAACAGTACAAATTTGAGTTTAGAGTGACAATAAATACATAGTGTAATGTATGGGGCCACTTTAGAATGGTGATCTTTGCTTTTGTGGAATTGAGAATAGGGAGACTTTGAAAGATAACCTCTTTACTATTTTGTCTTTTCACTACAATTTTTATGTCTAGTAAATAAACCCTTGAATATTTTAAAGCCTCTAATTTATCTCTTTTTAAAAAGATTCTAAGAAAAGACACTCAGAATATGTATTTATATAAAGTCACTCAGAATATGTTTTTGTATAAAGTTGCAGTAAATAAAGAAACATATATAGTGTAAACATGTAAATATATTTATCTGGAAAAAAATCACTTCAGGCCCTTGTGTTAAAAATCACTGATCCAGGGCGTGTGTCTAGACACAGAGGAAGAGGGCTGCTTGAGCCTTTAGCTCTGCTCCACGAGCTGGGCAAATCCGTGTTTAAGTAACCTTCCCGAAGAAAAACATAGCTACAAACGATGTCTCACTCGAAAGCACACCGGAACTGAGAGGAGGCGGACAAACTACATTTCTTCACCCAGAAACTGGTGGCTAGCCTGGCTTTATAAACCACAGATGCAGGCCTACAAGATGGTATCGGCATCTCCAGATGGAGCAGCCCCCCATGATCAGATTATGAGACAACGCCTAAAGCTGAGCCACTTACGACATCCTTCATACAGGAGGCACGAGACCAACAGTCAAGCAAACTGATCTCCATCTGGCAGACGAGTGTGGCAGAATTGAAGAGAGATCTGCAGGAGTTGGAATCCCACACAGCGCAAGTAGAAACCAAAATGGAGGAACTGGGGGATGCTCACAGCACGACCACCAACCACATCCAGCATCTTACTGCACAACTTGCGCAATGTGAATCTGAAATCATGGATCTCGAAGACAGGTCACAACTCAGTAATGTTCGTCTAAGGAAAATCCCTGAGATGGTCCTAACAGTGTACTTACCAGTATTTGTAAATTGTTTTTTCAAATTTCTTGTTCCTGAAGTTCCTTCAGACATGCTACTGCCAGACCGCCTATATAGAGTCCCGAAGTTTCAACATATTTCTGCTTCACTGCCTTGAGACGTGCTCCTGAAAGTACATTACTTTCACATAAAAGATCTCATAATGCGAAGGAGCAGAACGACAAAGGACCTGCAGAATACACAGGCTTTCGGGTCTTCTCAGATCTCTCAGCAGCCACATTGCGCCAACGCAAGGCCTACCAGAGAGTAACCGAAACCCTGCAAGAAAACCACATATTTTACCGCCGTGGTTCCCCATGTGCCTACTCATATCCAGAAATGGGATGACTACAATCATACACACAGTAGAAGAAGGCGTCCAGCTCCTGCACAAATGGAACCTGAAGCCTGCGGGAAAAGCTTCAACACCTCAGTCATCTAAAAGAGTGGGAAAGGGCTGGTCTCTTGTCTGACCTCGCAAGTATTATCTGCCTCGGGAGAAACCTGAGCAAAAGCAACCTGAATGTCCCTTGAAAGTTGAGACACCTTATATACCTGTAACAATTCAATGTATACCCCCCTATCGGGAACCTCACTATGTTGTACAGAGGTGCCCCAGCATATTTTTTACTGTTAAGTCCACATGATTCTAATATGCATATATGTTTGCCACTGTGACACCTTAGATCCTTGGTAGTACACTATTTCAAGCCGGCACAGGCCACCTATATTGCCACCACCTCCAATTCCATGCCCCTTTGGGTGTGCACAGGCTTTACTGTATATACTTTGGTTTGATTTTTCAATTTTACTTTTGTCTTACTGCAACTCCCACCCCCTCCCCATTTACCACTATATATTCCCCAGCTGGGCTCACAGGAGCAATGTTGTACCAAAATGTATGATTATGAATTCTCAAGTATCAGACACCCTCAGTCCCTTAATGGCAATACCCTGATACCGTTACAGGTATCTGCTTAAACAGCAGACCACCAATGGAGGTCACGGAATAGGCCCAACATATTGGCTAACGATCATACTCATTGTTCACACTGAGAGTCTATTCCCATAATTCCACTCTGCCCACACATTGAAATCTAGAGGGGTCTCTATTTATGTACACAGGTCTGTTGCATTTGAATTACTGCAATGTATCTCCAACAAACACGGTAGATACCTCAAAGTTATATGTTTATAGAATGATGTATTGTATACCTTAGCAAATGTTTATGCGCCCAGTGATAACCAGCGAAACTTTCTGCATAGCGTGCTAACTAGGGTGACAGCTGAACAGACGGATAATACCATCATATGCGGGGACATTAACAATGTTTTAAACACATCTATATCGAAACACACATCCAGTTATAAACAGCTTAAATCTCAATGCAAAGCCCTGACGAAATTACTCTTTCAATTTATATGATTGCTGGAGGACATTACATCCTTTAAACAGGAGCTACTCATATTACTCTAAGATTCATAAGACATTCACTAGGATAGATGCTATGCTCCTTGCAGGGCTGTCTTTGAACCAGGTATCCTCCTGCACAATAGGAGACCTTACCTGGTCAGACCACGCACCACTTGTGACTACTTTTAGGGATGATTTCAAATTTCGGGGATGCAACCCATGGAGACTCAATGACCCCTTGCTGTAAAATAGGAAATTTTGTACAGAAGTGGAATTGGAACTTTCCACATACTTCTCACTTAATGATACACCTGAAATCATAAGACTGTCTTACGTGGGATCAGGCAAGCTTAATTTCTTAAGCAACAATCCCAGGCAAAACTATTAGACCTTTTGCGTAAGCTATATGATCTCTCTGCTTCCCATTATTTAAACCCAACCACTACAGTTGCTGAACAACTTGTGCAAGCCCAGAAGGAAATCAATGAGCTAAACATAGCCCACACTGCTCGTACACTACACAAGTTCAAAACCAAGGAGTACATGATGGGTAATAAATCAAGCAAGCTATTAGCGAACAGACCAAGGGCTGTACAGGCACAATCTAAGATTGCATACATAGTGTTGATATACAGTTGCAAGAAAAAGTATGTGAACCCTTTGGAATGATATGGATTTCTGCACAAATTGTCATAAAATGTGATCTGATCATCATCTAAGTCACAACAATAGACAATCACAGTCAGCTTAAACTAATAACACACAAAGAATGAAATGTTGCCATGATTTTATTGAACACACCATGTAAACATTCACAGTGCAGGTGGAAAAAGTATGTGAACCCCTAGACTAATGACATCTCCAAGAGCTAATTGGAGTGAGATGTCAGCCAACTGGAGTCCAATCAATAAAAAACACACACCAGTTCTGGGTTTGCTTTTCACAAGAAGCATTGCCTGATGTGAATGATGCCTTGCACAAAAGAGCTCTCAGAAGACCTACGATTAAGAATTGTTGACTTGCATAAAGCTGGAAAGGGTTATAAAAGTATCTCCAAAAGCCTTGCTGTCCATCAGTCCACGGTAGGACAAATTGTCTATAAATGGAGAAAGTTCAGCACTGCTGCCACCCTCCCTAGGAGTGACCGTCCTGTAAAGATGACTGCAAGAGCACAGCACAGACTGCTCAATGAGGTGAAGAAGAATCCTAGAGTGTCAGCTAAAGACTTACCAAAGTCACTGGCAAATGCTAACATCCCTGTTAGCGAATCTACAATACATAAAACACTAAAGAAGAATGGATTTCATGGGAGGATACCACAGAGGAAGCCACTGCTGTCCAAACAAAACATTGCTGCACGTTTACAGTTTGCACAAGAGCACCTGGATGTTCCGCAGCAGTACTGGCAAAATATTCTGTGGACAGATGAAACCAAAGTTGAGTTGTTTGGAAGAAACACACAACACTATGGGTGGTGAAAAAAAGGCACACCAACATCAAAACCTCATCCCAACTGTGAAGTATGGTGGTGGGGGCATCATGGTTTGGGGCTGCTTTGCTGCGTCAGGGCCTGGACGGATTGCTATCATCGAAGGAAAAATTAATTCCCAAGCTTATCAAGACATTTTGCAGTAGAACTTAAGGCCATCTGTCTACCAGCTGAAGCTCAACAGAAGATGGCCTAAAGCATTGAAGTAAATCAACAGCAGAATGGCTTAAACAGAAAAAAATACGCCTTCTGAAGTGGCCCAGTCCTGACCTCAACTCGATTGAGATGCTGTGGCATGACCTCAAGAAAGTGATTCACACCAGACATCCCAAGAGTATTGCTGAACAGTTCTGTAAAGAGGAATGGTCAAGAATTACTCCTGACCGTTGTGCACGTCTTATCTGCAACTACAGGAAACGTTTGGTTGAAGTTATTACTGCCAAAGGAGGTTCAACCAGTTATTAAATCCAAGGGTTCACATACTTTTTCCACCTGCACTGTGAATGTTTACATGGTGTGTTCAATAAAAACATGGCAACATTTCATTCTTTGTGTGTTATTAGTTTAAGCAGACTGTGATTGTCTATTGTTGTGAATTAGATGATGATCAGATCACATTTTATGACAATTTGTGCAGAAATCCATATCATTCCAAAGGGTTCACATACTTTTTCTTGCAACTGTAGAAACAAATATTGATCTTTGTTATATTCAGAGGAAGCCTAAATTGTTATTACAAGTGCACTTGTAGGAGCGCGAATTAGACACCAGACACCTGTTGGTATTTAAAATAAGTCTCTGCCGTTTTATTCGTCAGCTGGGTTTTTATACATTAAAAAGTAAGTGCTTACGTGCAAATGATCATAGGACAGTAGTAGGAAGGGAGCGAAAGGGTAAAACGAGTACAGATAAGACATAGGGATGAACGTCATGTACATATAACATATAAGTTCCGAGAAAGAACAGAATGATTTGAGAAGAGACATCTGAAGTGGGGGCTATCTGCTCCCCGGACTAGACATATATGGTCTTAAGTGTTGTTTTAAGCATCAAGCATTTCCTGAGTCCAAGTTAGCCAATTTTAATATAGGATATCATTATATGACACCTATAAGCTTGAGCCTTGGAATCAAGATAAATTCTATCACAATCCCCTCTTTTGATACAAGGGTCACCCAAAGGTATTTCCAGGACTGCTAGCCAAAGCCTGTGGGACTTTCATTTATTTCTTCACCACGGTTCCCTTGGACTGAGAGACCACCACAATCAGCGGAAGAGAGTTCCTTCATTTGTTAGGCGAGGTAACATCGTAAAACCCTACCGAAGTCGGAGTTGGAATGTAAGTTAAGGTACGACCAACAGTAAGTTTGTTTTTACATAGAGAGGTTAGTAGACATGAGAAAAATCTAAAGGTTAGAAAAATGGCCATAATGACAAATACAGTTAATAGCAAAAAGTGAAAAATGTTCTTAATTAGTAAAGTCAACTATGTTCCTAGCCCACATGTCCAATCCCAATCCCCAAAGAAGCCAGTATTCTGTTTGATAACTTGTACTAAGTCATGCAAATCTTTTATATGTTTATGGATCATAGTGCCATGGTCAGATAGGTTAAAACAGCACATACCTTCAATAGCTTCACAGCCTAAGTCATGTTTCATTAGTAAGTAGCCAATGACTGCTCTATTCTCAAGGATTGCCTTCTTATGTCCATAAGTAGCTCTTCTAGGGCCTGGGAAGTGGCATTTAAACCCTTTGCAAGGGAACAGGCTACAGCATTAATTACTCGGGTATTATACAGTGCTAAGCCTGGGAATCCTACCATAGAGTACGCTAGGGCAGAGTATTTGGATTTAGATAAGAGAGTAATTTCAGGGTTACAATCTGAAGTAAGGGTGTTTTTAACATCTCTCCTGTCTCTCAGTGGTTTGTGTAGCTGGGTGGTTTCAGGGATCAAGTCAGATTTGGAAAACATGGTCATGATTAGGCGTGAGATTGCACAGGGACATCCTGTAATGTTACCTGGGACATAAGC